GATCTTTGGGCTGATTGGCCGAAGAATTCTTGCATGATCCTCGATTCTTTCTGTTTGTATGTAAGCTAGATGCATGGATGATAGACGTGATTCTGTCTGCGTATGAATTGGATTGGTATGCTAGACTATTAGATGACCACCTCCCTAAAGGACGATCCACCTCGTTACTCGCTGGTTTTCACCTACTCGATCGAGGACAGGTCCCACGCACGCATGCATAGGGCCGACCAAGGACGATCGCGGCCTACACGCGCGTCTGTGAAACATGAACTCGACTAAGTTCCCGAATGGCCGATGCTCCACCCCGACTTGCAGTATGAATTTCGGCATCCCCTTTCGTGTCAATGACTGCGAGTGTTTGAGGGATCGGGAATTCCAAAAACATTGGGAGCACTCTTGCTTGTATGCACGACCCTGGGCGGAACCTCCGGAATTACCCTCCCTGACGGGGAACAACGTTTTGCGAGTGGGACCTCGACCAGGCCTTGGGACGCAACCCCCATCTCCACGGCTACTCTAGCCCATACACGTGTCACATCCTCATGAAACCCGGAATCATTCAAGTTATTGTAGGGACCGAATTCCCTCCCTATCACCGCATCCTACCCTATCACTCCCTAACCGTCGCCCCCTGGCTCGCAAGCGCTCCTCACTGGCCCCAACCCCCGTGCTCAAAGTGTCTGCGGGACCACGAGTACTGAGCCTCTGGCTTCATCCGGCGAACTCGCTCGGAGGAAGAACGACGAACACACAGCCTGCGATTAAGGCCAGCCGCGTCGAATTCGGAGGCTTGCGACGTTCGACGTCGGCAGGTGACGAATCAGCGGGATAACCATAGCGTCCCGACAGTGCACCAGATACGACCCAGACGACGGAACCAACGGAGGCGGAACTCCGCTCTGCAAAGCAAAACCGAACCCCTCCTGCATTTGTATCCCAGAGCTTGCCACAGGAGATCCTAGTTCCACCCCCACTTTCCAAAAATCCTCGGCACACCCCTTTTCACACTTCCAGGCCCACTCCCATGCCGATTAGGAAGTCGCGCCGGGCGTGAGGTTGGGCGTCACAAGGCCGCAGAAGGGAGCTCCAAAGGTCGTACGTACGGCTCGCATCGGGCCCAGGGGGGGCGTATGGACGGTGGTATGGGAAAAATTACCACCTTTCCCCATACGACGAGCCTACACTAGTTTGGAGTGGGACATGGGAGCGAGCAAGGGCTTGTTGACAATCTCACTCACAGATTCGTTCCTGGTCCGTCTGATAAGGGAAGGGAGGGGGATGTGCTCGAAGGAACCAAGACGGGATAGTGGCATGGACGACCGCCAAACTAGCTCACTCATTGACCCTGAACGTCGTGCCAAACTCCCATGTCCCCCGTGAACATCCAACGTCGTGTCACACCCCACACTCAGCCCACAGAATCCAACCAGGACAATCGATAGCAGCAATTGAAAAGGTTAAGGACTCTGATGCGCATTGTCATGCATCTGCACATACATGACATGTACGAGATGAAATAATTTCCGAATTGCGGTTCAACCCGAACTTGCTCAAAATTCCTAAACGGAAATTGATTGAAGAGACCATCCAAAATTGAACCACAAGATGTAGGACCAAAATCATCTATTTGTGAACGACCCAAGAAAGTTAGCGCATTCAACCAATTTGTAACCTTCGCCCTCAGGAGATACACAGTCATCAAAGACAGGCATTAGATCATACTGGAGACCGAAATTTAGTGGCGAGTGAGAGAGAAGAAACACATTGAATTTCAGTAATAGGCGCACACACATGCATTCTCACAACAAAATCATAATACACATAAGTTGGAGGAGAGAGTAAAGCGAGGAGGAGATGAGAAAGAAGCGAATTCAGAAGACAACCAGGAGAAATTGCTCAATTCGGCCTTCAAAAATTCCCCAAGTACAACCCCATCATCACACCCTCCCTCTCTCAATAGTCGCTGCTCACTTCCGCACTTGGTGCAGGCAGCCCGTTACAGCGATTGTCAATGAGCGTTGGGCCAGGCATTTAAATCTAGATGTTCATATCCTCCTTCCCGTGCGTTGGTTCCAGGGACTGAAGGAGCGTATTATGACTTAGTGGTGGGAATGCATGTGTGTGCGCCTATGACAATGTAACAACGCCCGTCGGTGGGGACCGCTAAATTTGCATCTCTACAGCGGCGAATTCTACATCGACGTCTTCCAATGAAACACTGGTTGACGCGTCACTTCTCTCTAAAATAATGTGGCCAACCGACTTCACCCGAAAACAACGCCCGCTGGGCAGGCATTATGTTCGTTTATAACGCCCAGTCGTTGTATTCAGTAAATTGGTGGCAACTTCGGTGGGGACCGTGGGGCCCCAAAATTCCGGGAAAAAAAAAACAGATTCAAAAAATTCTGTGAAAAAAAGTTTAAAAAACTATGTTGTCCAGAACTGCAATACGACCAAGTTTTGGGTGAGATGTTGTCCAGAACTGCAATGCGACCAAGTTTTGGGTGAGGGTCACTTCAGAGTTCCTTATAAAATCGGAAATAAAAAATGAAAACAAAAAACTCAAACCGAAATATACCCCTTGCCAAGGGAAGTCAAAACCCTTTTCAACCCCCTTTAAAACCCATGTATACCCCCTTCCTCGCCCTTTCAAAACCATGTACACCACCTCTACAAGGCACTCTGCCCATGGAACATTCAAATACAACACCCGAGCGTTCTATTCGAAGGGTCATTCTATGTGAAAAAAGTGCATAAAAACAAAAATCTGATCTTTTTAGGGTAAGTTGAATATAACCCCAGGGCGTTATTTTCGGGCGAAGACGGTAGCTCTTCCCTGGTCCCAGTCCAGTCACACAGCATTTTCCAGCCGTCGGATCTAAAAAACTGCCGAACACATTTTTTTGCAGTGCCCTGGCTCGGTCCTCTTGTGACGAAGATGGGACTGTATTTGGCGGCAGCTGACAGACATTGACTGGCCTTGGGACTAGCGGGTTATTCTCTTGGGTTCTTGGAATCCTCCTCCTCCTAGCTCTGTGTTTTTTTTGTTCAGAATCTGTTCTCTTTTTCACGAAAAGCAGTACTATGGACGCTCAGGTACAAATTATGTGTACACGCTGTAGAAGAGGTAAGGATAGAAGGATTTGAAATTTCTGCAACAATCAAGCAATGTGTTCACAGTCTTCAGACAGAGATTCGTGCTCAATCGTTGCTGGGATGGAGGTGGTGGGGGGTGGGGCAATTTTAGATAGTAGGTGTGTTCAGTTTTGACCCTCCGCTCTCATAGGTTTTCAAACTTCTTCAGACTTTTTCTGAATTTTAGCCTATCTCATGAGGTCTTTTGTCTAATAGGCTAGAAATTGCTCATGATCCTATTCTTAGCCGAAGCCGGGTAATGGCCCCGGTATCTCGAGTTTTTTCCGTATATGTTCTCCAAATGTTCCTAATGGGATGCTGGGCTCGGTTCCCAGCACGTGCGGCTCCCCACGAATAGATAGAAGCATTGCCCTGCCCCTCCTCCTCCCCCCCCCCC